GACCAACATAGACACACACACACAGACACACACACGCACACAGACACGCACACACTCGCACACAGACACGCACACAGACAGGCACACACAGACACAGGCACACACACGCGCACACACACACAGACACACACACACACACACACACACACACACACACACTCACTCACACACACTGACCTTTGGTGATCGAAGGGATCCTTTACTTCCACTGATGTCATATGGCCTCTACACAGTTCAGCTGTTGAGATTCTGATGACGAGAAGCTTTTAGTTCCTCTCTACAAGTGTTTTAAAGGGTCATATGTGTTATTTCATGATTTTACATTTTATTTTCTCCTGTCATTTTGGCATTGTAATTTTGACATTTACTTTTATTCGAGTCGAGTTTCTGATCCGAGAGTTGCAGAGGTATGAAATTGTATAGAATTTCTTCTGCTTTTGAAAAAAAAAAAAGAGGATAATATAGAAAAAAATTGCAGAAGTTCAAATTTTGGACTGCAGAGGAAGTTTTGACAGCCTAAAATATTTATATGTATTTTAGTATTTTACTTTTATTTTTTTCTTTGACAATGGAAATATTTTACTGTTTTTCATAAGTTCCTAAGTTAAAATGGCATTTAAGTCAATTATTTTATCATTGAAACCAGTTTCAATATATATATATAAAAATTAAACACAAATAAATAAATAATTGCAGAAGTTCAAAACAAGTAAATTTTCAGTTTAATTGTATTTATTTATTTTATTATTTTACTGTAGAGGAATTTTGATGGTGAATTTAGTTTAAAATTCATTTTTTTAACTAACAATGAAAATGTATTTTCCAGTATTTTTATTAAAAAATCTGTTTTCATTAATGAGAATGGATTTTTTAGCTGTTTGTTCTTGCATATTAATGACAATTAGAGTCAATTATTTACTTACAAACTTTATTTTGTTTTACATGCATTTTGTATTTGGCAGCATTGCATAAGTTAAAAATGGAGGCTTTTTTCTGGTTGTTACATTTATTTTTGAAAATGGAAAAAGAGGCATAAAAGTTGCATTAGTTCAGAATTAACATTTTGTAGCTTAGTTTCGGTAATTGCTCTTTTTGGACTGTAGAGGATATTTTGATGGGCGAATTAGTAACATTTAATGTATTGTGTATATATATATATATATATATATGAAAATACTGTATTTTCCAGTATTTTTATTAAAAATATTTCGTTTCCTATCGTGATGTAATTATTTTACGTTTTTTCCTGTTAACTTTTTTTAACCTTAAACCGCATAAACACATTGCATTACAACAAATGCACTTCATAATGTTCTTTTTAGCAACGTCATATGACCTTTAAAGGTGCATAAAGCGATTTCTGACAAATGCTGTTGATGTTTGAAGTTTTATCAAGTTTTTTCAAGTTTTATCAAGTTTTGCTGCTGCAGAAGTTAAAAACGTATGATATTTATTGTATTAGATTCAATATGAAACTAAAAAGACAATGCAAAGAAAAGAAAGTCGTTTTACAGTTGAGTTTTCCAGTCTGTTTGATAGTCCAATGAACTGCCCCTTGTCTTCCAGGCTAGGCCATACCCCCCCCTCTGCCCCTTGGTTATCTGTGAGCATCGTTCTAAGCTCAGGGCTGCTGAATGGGTGTGGCGCAAATCACAAAATACTACTGAACTTAAATATGTATCAGTCACTCCTCTCTTCATTCTCTGCTAATGTCTCCATTGCTAAAAGGACATACTATCACAACAAAATTAAAAATTCACCTAACTCTCGCATGCTCTTTAAAACATTTTCCTCCCTCCTTTGTCCTCCTCCTCCCCCTCCTTCATCAACTCTAA